TGGCTTCCTGTCAAGCCCAATTAGTAGGTCGTCGGAATCGGTATGTTGTGTTACGGTGAGTTGACTATCCATGGAACGGTTCACGAGGTATGTATGTATGTATGTAATCTCAACAGTCTATTAACTAGACAGAGTCAGCAAAAACCATAACGATCAGCAGAAAAGCAAAATTCGTCGTGCTTTTATCCATCGTGGCATGCTAGTTGGAGGTGAGCAACACACTTCAACTAATATGCCGCAAGGAAGAATGGAACATTTTAATAAAAAGTGGAACGAAACATTTTTAGTTTGTTTTTCACACGCCGCTTTTGCTCTTTTCTTGTCATTTTAATGTTTGTAGTATCACACATGTAAATCAATACAATACTGTACACAATTCTTCCACTTATTCCGGTTGCGGGCCATATCTTCAAGAGTGCTAAGCCATTGGCACTCATCATCTTTGGGTCCCCATCCTGGAAGACGTACGGATCCAACAGCGGCTAGACACGACGTCAGCGATTTCATGTGCTGCCGCCAAGTGGAAGGCTGACCACCACGCAGTAGCCTCCAGCCAGGTCCTTGAAGAGCGAATAGTGCGCGACGCAGTAGACGCTCAGGTGCCATGCGTAGGACGTGACCGAGCCATCTTAACTGGCGCAACAAAACCAGTTTGTTGAAGGGAATACTCGTATTCCCAAATATGCGACGTCGAACGTCATTACTATTAACTCGATGTTGCCACCAAACACGAGCGATCCTCCTTAAGCAACCGTTATCAAACTCAGAAAGACGACGCATGTCTTCCACGCGAATCGGCCAGGACTCGCTCCCATACAACAATACTGAGCGAACTGATGCGCTGTAAACGCGGCCCTTTAGTGAGAATGAGACGTCACGACGGCGCCACAAATGCCTCAGATTGACACATGCTGATCGAACTTTAGCGGTACGAAGAGAAACTTCTTTACTGATTGTGCCGTCAGCAGAAACACAGCTCGCAAGGTAGACGAGACTATCTACTTTTTCAAGTTGTGCACCTTCGAGAGTGAGTACGGGAGCAGGTGAAAGCCAATCCTTGAGCAGTACTTTACACTTCGATGGGGCAAAGCTCATGCCATACTTAGCTGTTTCAACCGCCAAACGATCCAGAATGAGTTGCATACTCTGAGGATCGTCAACAAGTAAGGCGATATCATCAGCATAATCTAAGTCGGTCGCGCGCTCACCCGGTAGAAGCTCTAAGCCAAAATGTTGGAAACCTTCTAGAGCATTCGACAGAACGTCTTCGATTGCGAAGTTGAAGAGGAATGGGGACATAGGGCAGCCCTGTCGCACACCACTATTGACAGCGAATTGCGAGGAAAGCTTGCCGTAGACTCTCACTCTGTGGCATGTATGAAGGTAAAGTGTTGTTAAGATGGCGATATATTTCTCTGGCACCCGTTCTTTAGTAAGCAAAGCCATAAAGCAGGTCGATCAACGGAGTTAAAAGCGGTACGTATGTCTAAGAATGCAACGATGTGGGCCTGTGACAAATGTGGCGATATTCGAGGAGCTGGCGGAGCGTAAAGATTTGATCCACGCATCCGCGGCCAGGACGGAAACCAGCTTGTTCTTCGCGGTAGTTTGATTCACATACTGGGGATAGTCTGCGAAACAGAATGGATGCCAATAGCTCAGAGGCAACCGAAATAAGACTAATCCCGCGATGATTTGCACATGAAGTGCGAGCGCCTTTCTTGAAAATCGGGACAATAACTGATTCTCTCCAAGTGGAAGGCACTTCATCTTCATACCAAATTTTTGCGCACAGCGCGGTCAGCTGGTTAATGATCGCCACACCGCCGTACTTGAATAGCTCCGGAGGAAGTCCGTCTAAGCCGGCAGCCTTGAAGCGCTTCAAGCGTCGAATCTCGAGGCAGACTTCCGCTTCGGTGGGTGGATTCAGAGGGACGAGCCAGGGAGTACAACAACGTGTACTGCGTGTACTGATGGATGGTGGAGTCCAGTTGAACTGCGAGTGAAAGTGCTCGGCCCAGCGGTCCATACGCCTCTGTTGGTTGGTGATCGGAGACTCATCCACCTCACAAATGACCTCACTGACACTAGGCTTCCTGAGGACAGTGGACCGAATGAGTTGGAAAAGCCTGCGAGTGTTTCCAGGGAGGGCAGCAGTCTCCATCTCTAAAGCACGCTCAGACCACCATGTCTCGCGATCCTTGCGTAGGCTTTTCTTGAGCAGCCGGTTGGCAGAACGGCGCCGCTCGTTGCAATCTGATTCTGCGGGGATATCTTTGCGGCGTTCGAACAGCTCCAGAGAACGAGCAGAGATCCAAGCCTTCAAGGTGCGTCGAGTTAGGCCGCAGCATGACTGTCCGGAAATGGTCAGCGCTTTCCGTATACAAGTCCAGTGCTGTTCCACTTCTTGCGGTGGATTGCAACTGAGTGCATTTACCAATGAACACTGATAGCTCGCCTGGACAGAGGGATCAGTTAATCTGTTTACATCAATCTTGCGGTGCTTCATGTTTCGGGATCCTCCAAAACACATACAGATTTTCGCGCAGACCAGAGCATGGTCTGAGTCGACGAAGGTGGACCAAAAGGACCTGCAGTCCAGTACGCTGCCGCGTCATCTGAAGCCAATTGCAATGTGATCAATTCGAGCCCACGGTTGTGTTGAAGAAGAGGGACGCCACGTTGCGGAACGCTTCTTCGTACGCCTGAAGTTGGTGCTCTAAAGAAACAGACGGTTGTCTCCACACAATGTGAGAAGTCTCTCTCCGTTATCAGAGCGGTTCTCATCGAGCGCGTGATGACCACCAAGGTGGCGTTCGTATGGTAACAGGCGGCCAACCCGTGCATTAAAATCCCCAGCAAGGATAACGACATCCGACTTTTTAGCATTAGTCAAGAGCTGTTGTAGATCCCGGTAGAATTCGTCCTTGACCGAGTCGCCACTGCAGTCAGTTGGGGCGTACAGGGAGATCACAAACAAGTTGTGTCTCTCTTCGCGATGCCTGTTGATTCTACATGAACCCCGAAGCCGAACTGCACATAGTCGGCTGTTAATCGGAACCAGTCCAGTAGTGCCGCCTCGGCCTTGTCACTTAGTGCTATACCTACACCAGCCAGACCCGCTGAGGCGGCTTCTGGATCTCCAGAAAGACGCACGTGATATCTGGCTTCTAGGTCAGTGGGGGATGTCAATGTAAACACAGTGCTGGGATCTTGCAATCGGGTTTCTGAAAAGCAGCAGACATCAATGTCTAGGGAATCTAGGGTGCGCGCTAGACCGGCTTGCTGTCCAATCTGCATGAGTGTCCGAACGTTGAAGCACGCCAGACGGAACGAGGATCGGGGACGAAGGAGAGCCAGAGGTCGAACTTCTTGGTCTGCGGAGCAACCGGAATCGCAGCTAGATTGTTGAACACATGAATCGGGTAACGGAAAGTGAGGATTGTTAACAAACAAACAATTGGCGTGTGATGAAGTCGCGTGAAAGTGACTAGCAGAAACAGCAGTTGATGAGCAAGTTGTAATACGGTCCATGGTTTTGCGAGAGGGCGTGATACTACCCGGTTGCCCAAGCCGAAGTAGGGAGTTGACTTAGGGGACTCCACCCCGAGCCTTTGGCTAAATAACCTACCCGCAAGGCAGCGGGGCGAATTTACGGAATCGTGCCGATTGGGAGGCTCTGACTGAATGTTCAGTTCATGCGCTTTTGTTTGGTAGCTTTACCAAACAGGGGCCCAATACTCCCCATGAAGTCAGCACACCTGCTGGAATACAATGTCCAACCGAGGTGGAACATTGTCGCCGAAAATTTGTTGGAACGGGGTACATCCGAACCACCCAGCTGGCACCACGAGGAGGTAGTTCCTTGATGTTTCCTTTTTTAATCGTTGGCATTTACAATCGCTTTGAGTTACATTGCAGGCCCACGATAACACAGTTTTGTTTAACCAAACTAATTCCCTCCGGATTGTTGAAAACAATCACACTTTTGAATCTAAGCATTCGTTTTAGCACCTCTGATACGGCTAATGCGATTCACTTCGTGCTTTTCACCTGTAATTGGATCGAGTTTCTCTGGTGGTCTACTAAGGTATTCTAACGATGTCAAGCGATATTTGAGAGGCTCAAGAATGGGCACAATATATTTTTAAAATCTTAAATATTTAAGACAAAGGTGATGACACCAACAGTGAGTTCTGAAATAAGATCAGCTTTTGGAGTAGAGCAAGTTGATGGCTATTTTGGGGTCCGTGTTCGAGCGGTGCAGAAGACATCGCTTTTCGCTTTCGGATTCATACTAGGCCTTGTTGGTAATATGCTAACTTGGAGATAATAACGTAATGAGAGGGCTGGTTGAGGGAGTTACACGAGGCAGTTGTAGTCTGACCACAGTGGAAAGCTCCATTGTCATTGAGGCGGTGACATCAGCCATATTATTCGGCGCCAGCGCAATTCAGTAATCTCACTTTATACATAATCAACAATCTGCGTGAGTCACTAGGT